TATATATATATAAATACAAAGTATATATATATATATATTTGTTACTTTGATATGTAAAATATTGTTATTGCAGAAATGTATTTGATACACACAATATGTACAAAAATATGATTCTGTTGAGTGAAGTTTGAAACAAATTAGAATTCCCTAAACAATTAAATGTATTCTCAAACTTTCTGTTCATTAAACAATACAAATTAAATATTTTCTCAAGGCCAAAATAGCAAAAAATGAATATGAAAGCACTACAATCACCAATAAATTGAATTAAAAATAAAAACTTTCCAAGAATTTCAGAAATAGATATCAAAACATGAAACTTATTCAATAAAATTAAAAACAGTTTCTTCAGTCTAGGTATTTTTAGAATCATACACAAACAAATATGTTATTATTTTTACTTCAATAGAATGTTTACAATATTACAAAATACATTTATAAGGCATTACTTCTTTATTGTTAATGCCTAATACAAATACCAAACAAATTAGGAACTTCACTCAACTATTACAAACATTATGAACGTCATTATATAGAAAAAGATAATTGCACCAGTTTTGAAAATGGTAGAAATTTGACAAGAAACAAGAATTGGAATCTTTCTTAATATACATAAATTTTTTTGAATGATATTCATTAAATATGTTCAGAACACATGCAATTGTTTATTAATTATATAATAAAACTCTAGCAAAAATATATTTAAGAAACATAATATGAATGTTAAAAAATTAATTCAAACAAATTATCCAATTATATTTTCCCCAATGTAATATAAGAAAGTACACTTGTGCGTAGTGTCAGCCTTGGCCTCGACTGCTCATCTCTTCATATAAAACATCCTTATATTTAAGTAAGTTACGACTAGCAGAATTGCGATTATATATTGAAAGAAAAATCTATATACAATCTTATGGTCAATAAATATTGAAAATTTAATGATTATATAAAATTATCAAATAATAATCACCATCTAAATAAGTGAAGAGTCTACTTCCTGAAGTTAATCAACATAAACTAAAGACAAGTCATCGAAGGAATTAGTAGAAATGTTGATTAATATCTAATAATTAAAATATATTTTTTTAGTTCTTTCCATAAAATTTCTTATTCAGAAGAAACAGAAGTAGATTCACATTGACTTTTGCTTTCCCAAAGATATCAGTAACGGATTCACCTTCGAACTGTAATTGCAGGAGATGCTGAAATAATAAATATATATATTAATGATCATGATTTTATTTCTCAAAAATTTAACATAGCAAAAACATAAGGGAGTACAGGATAAAGTAAAGAAGAATTAAAATGAGGCCCACACAATTGCAAAATGAACTTAAACAATTTCTTTTATGGTTTTCTCATCTCAGAATTCAATTCTTTAACAGATCTGAAGTGCCCCCATTGTGCTCTGTACAAAACATTGATATTTTAATATTGATAACTTCAGAACAAATTTTAAGAGACAAGGAACACACTTTATCTATAGTCTACACAAACAAAGGTTCGAAATTCGAATTCTATTCTACCTTTAAAATAAAACCACACAATGTCTTCATTTTAAAATTTCTCTGTAAATTCAAAAGCTTTCATGTAAAATACAATTGAGTTTATTTGTTCTTATAAACATCAATTATTTTCAATTACTTGCTACGTATATATTTTTCATTAGTAATTTCTCTAGATCCTCCTTCAGCTCTCCACGTCGCCCGTCAATGCCTTTTGCACTGGTGGAGTCCCGCTACTTCAAGTCCCCTTTACTCGCCTAATAACATGTTTCGGGAGCGAATGGCGCAAGCGGTTAAGGACACTGATCGCTTTTCCGCGCGGCATGGCGGGTATCGCCAACATTAAGTTCGAAACTGAAGTAAGCAATCACGTGTTGCCGCCGCCAAAGCTGGCGAATTGAACCGTTAGGGCGCCTTCCCACGTCGCGACGGCAGTGCGCTTCCGAGCAACGCGGCGTGTAGCAGAGCATTGGCCCTAAGGGCGCCTTCCAACGGCGCCGCGGTTCCTTCAAGCAGCAGAGCCCTTCCGACGCCGCCCGCTGTGGAAGGGGGTGGGTTCTGCAGGGGTAGGTTTCGCCGACCCTCTGGCGACGTCGAACAAAAGGATCGCGGCAGGTAAAATGCAGCGACCGGCGGCACAGTGGAAGGCTACCATTTAAAGCTGTGTTCTGCCAGCGGTGGCGCGTACGCCCTCCTCTGCTTCGCGTAGCGAGAGTTCTCCGCCGCTTGCCACAGCAGCGCCCGCCCGCTGCACGTAGGAAGGTCTCCACTCAAACCAATGCTCTGCTACAAGCTGCAGCGCTCGGAAGCGCACCCCCGTCGCGACATGGGAAGGGGCCCTTAGGGGAAGCGGGGTATTTTGTTCAAGTGTGGGCGGATTTATGACCGCGAAAAGGAGGAACTCCGCCCTCACGGTAAACAAAGGAGGTGGTTTCTGCACACCAGTCCTCGAAAAGGTCACCCCAGAACAGTCGCCTGGTTTTTATGACAACCACACCCTGCGCATCGCGATCAGTCAAAACGTTTCTTTCACCCAAAAAGAGATTTCGAAAAGGCACCACGTGCAGCCACCGACCACTGACAAAAGGGGTGAGGGGGCAGCACCGCAAAGTTGCGAGCAGTAAACCGCGTCCTTAAAAATAAATAAAACAAAATAATGATGCAAAGGTCGCCGTCAATTTCGCGAGTACCTGGAAACCCGGAGGAGAGTGCTTATATGTCGCACTCCTTTGATCGCAAGAAAGCCTGGGATGCGCGCGGAAGGAGGGAGTTCCCAGCTTTCGTTATTCGAAGGATAGGGTCGCTAGGACAGAGAGAGATGTGATCGAGATGGAGTCGGAGACGTTATTTTCGGAATAGCGGACTGTATAATTAGCAACAATGGGATGACATTCAAAGTTTATATGGACATTAGGCTCATAAATTGCACCACAGGAGTACCCAGGACATCCCCTTTGGGAGAAGACTGCGGCATATCAACCGAGAAGACGTTCCGTAAGCTTAGGAACTTTATCAAAGACGAAAGATTGAATAATGTTTAAAGTCCATAGAATCATTAATTAATAACTATCTCGACACAGGTGATTAGAATGTTACAATAAATGTTATTTGTTACTTGAAACGAAAATGCTGACATTTGATTGAATTGCCATCAATACAATAAGTAATAAATTTTACAGAAGTTCCAGGAATCGTGATTTCAGACACAGTCACACGTCCACGTGCATCAGGTAAGGTGAATCTTAATAAAAAACAGCTAGCCAAATTATGAATTATTAGAGCAATTAAATCATGAGCATAGCAGAGCAAATTAGTTTTTTTTTAATAATAAAACTTTACAAATAATATGTGTGTATGTATTTGTGTGTCTGTATATATATAATATACAGTGTCCCATTTCATTTGGCAACTAAAATAACAAAAAATACGCGATGTACGAAACATTGAGCCGAGACCAAATCTTAACACCCCCCTGCCCCCAGCGGGTGGGGCGGTGGGCAACATTGATATCTTAAATAGGAACCCCCATTTTTTATTTATTTCAGATTCGGATTCGGTTTCTACGGACAAAAATACACAAGTTTTGTCTGAAACTTTTTTTCTGATTTGTGATAGGTGGCGCTGTAATGGAAAATATTAGATTTCCGACTAATTTGAGTGGTTTTGAGCGTGGTCGATTATTTCTGAGTGGTTAATAAAAATCAGTATTTTTTACGCAAGTCAATAAACTACTTTTAGCACAACCTAGGAATAACGACATGGACGTAGTAGTTTTCTGTTCCCTTCGGGGTGCTTGTTTTCAGTGAATCCCTTTGCCACTTACTATCGGAGTGCTGCTTTTCGATGGTTCTACAAATACCTCAGTATTTATTTAAAGTAAGTGCTCAAAATAATGGCCCTGAACCTCAATGCATTTATTGATTCGTTCTACCAGCAAACGAACACATCGCATAAGCATATCTGTTGTAATCGCGGCACTGTTTCTTTATAGACGACATCTTTTAGGTAACCCCACAAGAAATCTTGTGAGGTAAGGTCTGGTCTGGTGATCTGGCTGGACTGGTCCTTCTCCACCGATCCAACGATTATTGTAATCTCGATCCAATACCTCGCGTGCTACTAATGAGTAATGTGCTGGGCAACCATCATGTTGAAACCACGTGTTTTGTCGCACTTCCAAACTTACCCCTTCGAGATTCTCGGTAGATCTTAATCAAGAAGGGTTTGGTACTAGTCACCATTTAGATTGCCGTCAATAAAGTATGGTCCGATAAGGATCCATAATCGCCAATTATTCCACACCAAACGTTAACCGACCAAGGTCGCTGATGATTTACTTGACGAATCCAGTGTGGGCTTTCTACACTCCAAAAATGCATGTTATGGCGGTTAACTTTACCGTGGTTTGTAAATGTCGATACATCAGAAAAAAGTACTTATGTAAAAAAGTTCAGATTCGTTTGTATTCTCTGACCTGCCCATTGACCAAACTGTAGTCTGCTTGAAAGTCATTGTCAGTTAATTCCTGATGCAAGGATACAGGATACGGATGAAATTTATGTATCTTTAGTATCCTCCAAACACTCATACGAGGATTGTTGGGATATTTCTCGAACACTCGCACGTGGATTATGAGCTACTGCAGCCAGTACTGATATTTGATTATTTTCTCCAGTAGCAGAAACTCTACGTGTTCTTTTTTTCAGTTGTACACTTCCGTCAGTAGTGAATTGTTGAACAATTCTAACGAAAATAGAAAGCGAATGTACTCAGTCAGGAAAACGTTGAGCATACAAATTAACAGCTGCGTCGAAATTTCTCCCAGCTTCGCCCTAAAAGAAAATCATTTAAATTTTTGCTTGCACATTTACATAATCCGTGATGCAACAAGGAGAAATGTTAGTTCAGAAAGGTAAAAGTTTAATAAATATCAGAATGCCTCTGAAGTACTATAGGCACGGACCATGGAGAGACGCTACCAACAAATTGATGGGTTTGCCCTGAGGCCACACTCAAAAACCACTCCCATTAGTCGGAAATTAAATTTTTGCGATATCAGCTCCACCTACCACAAATCAGAAAAAAAGTTTCAGACAAAACTTATACATTTTTGTCTGTAGAATCCGAATCTGAAATAAGAAATGGGAGTTCCTATTTAAGATTTCAATGTTGCCCACCGCCCCACTCACTGGGGGCAGGGGGGTGCTGATTTTAGCATAGAATGATTCTTCAAAACTGTTAAGATTTGATCTCAGCTTAATTTTAGGTACATCACGTATTTTTTTGGTTATTTCAAGTTGTCAAGCTAAATTGGACACACACATCTACATACAGTTTGTAAAGTTTTATGATTTTTTTAAAAATTTAATTTTTCTGCTATGCTCATAAATTAATTGCTCTAATAATTCATAATTTGGCTAGCTCTTTTTTTTATTAAGATCTTCACCTCACCTGATGCACATCGACGTGTGACTGTGTCAGAAATCACGATTCCTGGAACTTTGTAAAATTCCTACAACTTCATAATCTTGATTAAGCGGTTACCTCTATTTATGGCCAAATTTTTTTAGCATTAATGATGACCGCTTAATACAGGTTTTACAGTATTTTCATCAATATCTTGAAGTCTTTTTTAACATTACATATGGTAATCGTCACTTCACTACATATTATATATTTTGGAAACCAGTTTTAAAGAATATGAAAATAGCAAAACAGTTTGAAATTTTAAACCACAGTTCACTTCATAACTTAAATGACAACATCAAAACAACAGACATACCTGAATATCTACATCCACCTTCTCAAGATCAACACCCATAAAGCGACCACATATAGTGAAAATTCCATTGACATCTGATGGGGATATCTCAAATTGCACGTTTTTAAATTGAGAAGCTGGTAAACCATCCACTTCTAATAAAATGCCTTTTTCATGAAGACGAGCAGCAGTGTACTTAAGCACCAACTTTGATTTCACTTTTCGATGCTGAGAGGATTTCTTGAGAGAGTGCACATTTCTATTAAAAGAAAAAACAATCAACTTTTGCACCTATAACATGTTTATCAAATTCCTACACTACTATCGCTATTACTGTACTCAAAATTAGTAATACAATTATACTATTACCTTTTTCCTGCGTTTAGATTCTCCAAACATTTTTCTATATACTGGTTGTACAAACTTACTTGTTCCTCATAAAATTTTGCTTTCTGATCCAAACTGAATTTTGTTTCCCACAATGTTTGGAGTTCCTAAAATTTAAAGACAAAACCCTCTAGATAATGCAGAACCATTTACAAAAACCTTTATGAATTAAACCTTAACTGTATAGTACAAGCTTACAAAGCTACAGTAAGGTTCTTTCATTAAGCAATCAATTTACCTGTCTAATAATTTCACGATACTTTCCGTGGTTGCAAATGTCATGTGCAATAGCAGTAATAATAGTTTGATAATGATCATCCTGAGACACAAGACCTCCAAGTTCCAATTTCGCCAAATATTGCCGCAGAAGATTTTTACAACTGTGTAAAGATTCTTCATTGATACAAAAAGTAGTGTACAAATTTTTATGCCCATGCTTATTCTGTTTAAATGCTCTATCATGGATTAGTTCAGAATACAATTCTTCCTGTTGTTCTGTTTCTGGGGCAGACAATGCATCCACCAAAGTTTCTCCTTTCAAGCACGGTAGTAGAAAAACTAATATTTCTTTAGCTCTGAAAAAGAGGTAAAATGGGTAATTTACAAGTAAAATACTCGCAAGTGTTTCAAATTCAAAACTCTCCAACAAATTTCAATTTAGCTTGATCAACCCACCAACCAAGTAGGTCTCTTCACATTGAAACATTTCTCAAGCTTTTCATCAGGACAGAAATATTGAAGTTATTGAAGATTATTCCTTACAAATACAGTTGTTTAAGAATAAATTTGTAACACGTGTGGATCTAGATATTGTGGCAACTACTAGAATTGGGACCACTCTATGAAATTTACAAGATGGATTTGGTCATCTCTTGGAAAAACTTAGTTTCTATGCTTTGGCGCGAGCATGAGCTTGTTTGGGGCCACCCAAAATGTTCCCTGCCAGGACCCAGCCCCAGGCGGTGCCAGCCGTCTACAATTTGTTGAGAGTTTCTGCTCCTTCGCCACATCAGACCCACTCCACCTCACCCTGGGCGAGCACAGGCATAGGATCAATGTAATACACAACATTCCTTGTTACTTCAATGCACAAATCTGATGAGGCTACAATGCATTTTAGCATGCAGCTGCATTTGAAACTCCACATTAGCCAAGTCCTCAGCAGTTGACAAATGCCAACCCTGAAGCCCTGGATCTGGTAACTGAAAAATCTTTTATAAGCAAATCGGCACAATTGAGTTTTACTGAAGGTGCTGTCCAAATTCCTAAAATGCTCTAGCTTAAAACCTTGAGCTTTGAATTTCTGTATCAGTATAACAAGGATCCCTGTACAAGGGCACCAATATAGATAAAATCTCAAATTTTGCACATGCTACTTGATTACACTGTATATTCATCCACAAGGAAGAACAGGTCACACACAGAAATAGTGCTTAAAATAGATTTTGTTTGAGAATTACATTTGGCAAGGAAAAATCATAAAGAAAGGTAATATTTTGCATTTTCACTCCTCTTTTGTCTCATTGTTAAAAAATTCATATGAAACAATTCGTATTATTAATTTTATGGTCATCCACAAGTGACATTGAACACATGCACAGCCATTTGTGTACATTTAGATGTTACACCTGAAGTTACAGTCATGAGTTTGTACTTACTGAAAGATCATCATGCTAAAATTATTCCTTTCAATTTATAATTTGACTTTGCACAAAGTATTGAAGTGTTTGGAAGATAAAAACTGAGTTAAGAGAAGACATCAGGAGTTTTCAGCAAAAAGAGGTTCCATTTCCACTTTGAGGATGTGTTGTGCCAAGTAGTAATCACATTATTTTGAACTAAAATCTACATTGATTTAAAATAATTAATTATACTTTATTAATAATAAAATAATATGCCCAATACATAATTTTCAATATTATTTATACTTTACTTTAAAACGAACTTACAACTTGACATCTATGTTTGTAATTGAAAATGTGGTCATCTTGATGTTACAAGATGATCCAGCTAATATAAAAATTGTTTATAAAATGTAAAAAAATTAATATATTCAGTGTTTTGTTTATTTTTTCATGTTGAAATTTTCCATTCTCCTTATTATTTCTACAGAAAAACAAATGGCCCCACAGTACTCCTTAGAGGAATTGCGACAATTTTAGGATAAAAATTAGGACATAATATGTCACTTGTGCCAAAACAGCATATGTGATATTGAATAATTGTTAGTGACCAATTAGTTTAATTTTACGTTTCTTTAGATTTCAATATAAATGTAAATAAAACAAAATTGAAAACATTTTATTACTGCAACGTATTTATTTCTTGCAAAATAAACAACCAATTATCTAAACTAACCGGGTTGTTTAGATGATTGTGGTTTGAGGCTTCCGAAGTCAATGCGTTAATAACCATTAGGGAAATCTTAAAAGTTTACAATAGACATCTATAAATACGTACTTTATAAAGAGTTTATGAATATCAGTATCATCATCTTCAGGCACTTCATGTTTGTTGACAAGAGTAAGGCAGACTTCTGTTTTTGCAAGATGAGTCAATGATGAATCACTGGGACTTCCTGAAAAATTCATAAGCAACGAAAAATCAATGTAATGTAAAATATCCAAATTATTATAGTCCCCTCTTGCTAATTCAATCCACAATTACCTTTTCTCATAATGATCTTGTCGCTAATGTTTAAATGCCTAAATTAGGCTAAATATTTACTTAAAAACGTGATATACTGTGAAAAACTGATAAGTTTCTGCACAAATTACACACAATTTGTTTTGGATAGGACCCAAGAATATATGGGGTATTAATCTTAACATAAGTTGACTTTGAGTAGAAGATCCCCAGGTATGAAGAGGCCTCCTGAGAATTAGTAAAATTTTTAACTAATTCTTACAATTTAGTCAACATTAAATTTCAAATTGCCTATGAGCTATCCCTATTTTCTTGCTCCTTAAAATCATAAGTATGATTTTTGTCTCAACCCTCTTCATCCTCACATATATCATGCATCTTTCTTTTTGGTCCTCACATACCACAATAACTTCCAATTATTTAGATCCCCATTACAGTTGTGTGCTGAATATGCCACCTAGGAACATTCCTTTCTGTGTCACAAGATTTTTTTTCTGTTCCACTTGTGTTTGTGGTCTCAGAATGATTAGCAATTCTTTCACAATCTTTAATAGAATATATTTAAAATTTGCACCATTAATTTTTGTGTGATATAATTGTGCATCATTAACTCATTCAACTCCATTCCTATGAATTGATGGTAATGTGGGAGATATTATCAACTTTGATTTTTCAACTTTTTTGCTAGAATATTTTTTTCCTCCCGCCCTTTCTTGTGGTTGTATGTGGAATTCGTACATCTATAAATATGATTTCCCCCTCACATTTCTTGGATAACACAGATTCGCATTCACTGGGAGTCAATCCAAGAGCTCGCATGGCCTCATTGATCAGCACATCATGTAACAAAATCTCAGCAACAATTTTTATTCATTTTCACAACGCGTTTCACTTGATGCAACGCCCTGTTTGATATTCCCTCTTTATCGACGCTTTCAAAAACATTGGTTTGAATTGTCTGGCAAATTCGCGGTGAATGTGTGGTGGTTGCAAGAACATGTCCGCTAATATGTTTTTATAGTAATGAGCAATTGTATTACAGATATGCACAATATTTCTACCACCTACACAGCTTATTCAAGAATAAGAAAAACATATTCTCATAAGATTGTCAACATTTACCAGTTTTGTGAGATGAAAAGGCAATGTAAAATCATAAATCTTAATCAGCTAGGGTTAATCTGCAAATATAAGAGCAGGTGAAGGAGACACATTAACACAAATTTAAAAAGTACATTATTGTCAATTTGGTCACCACAATCTTTGCAGGACCACTTAAATGGCCTTCAAAGCTATGTTTCGAATTTAGTAAGAACATTTACAAATATAAACAGTCACAAAACTCACTGCCAACAAGAGTTGCAATAGTGGGTGGATCTCCCATATCCTCCAAAAGTTCAGACAAGGGATCCATAGGGTCTGGTGCAATATGGGCCAAATAGTCCACTAAAAGCTTATGAGTGTCACAAATCTCTTGCAAAGTAACATAAATCACAGGTCTAGTGATAAGAGTTGCTTCCGAGTACTGATGTAAACTGAAATGACTATCCAAATCTTCCACTTCACAACAATCTCTAAAGAAGGTTTTAAACTTCTTGTGACATTCAATGATGAAATTATTCAAGCACATGAGGTGGCAGGACTCTTCTCCAAACTTTAAAAAAAAAAAAATTTAAAAAAAAAAAAAAAAAAAAATTAAAAAAAAATAATTAAAAAGTAACATTATTAAATATCAAGAATACATCATCTTCAAAAAGTCCTTTCAGCTAGAATAGTATATTAGTGTATTTCATGCAAATAAAAACAAGATTTTGTAAATTATGCATGTATCAATAATATTGAAAGCATATTGAAAGTCAAGCACATGTATCTCAAGACTCACCCCTTTCTTCACAGCAGCAAACTGAAGTATCTTCGCAATGCTGGCCAAATTAAGTCTCTGAGCACTTGACAATGAATTATCAGCAGACAGAGTAATAATTCCGTATGTTTCTGGGCCAATAATTGCAGGATTTATATAATGGTAGTATATAAGATTTCCTACCACCTGAAAAATGTTTAAATATCATTATTAAGTTTTAGAAATATTCTGATCTAATAAACTAAGAAAAAATGTTACCTTCAATATATCCTTATCTGGCAATGATGAGAATTTTTCCATTAAAGATTCTCGCAAAACTCTGGCAATGTAGAGGAGTCCATAAGGAATAAGATGAATAGATCCCGTAATGTGATCAAGAAAAAATGCTGTTAAACTTTTGAGGGCATTTAAACTAGTGGCGAGTCTTTTCTGAACTTCAGGATGCGACAATGCTTGTTCTGGAGAGACAGAAGCAGGAAGTTCAGAAACAACACCTCGTTTCATTTCCTCCTGGTTACGCCATATCTTATAGATATCAACAGGATTGGTGTTAATAACCAAAGTTTTGTCATCCAAAACCTGGCAAACAATGCAATTATATATTATCATTAAAAATTATGAATATATTCAGTTATTACACAAATTCATAAAACAGACTGGATGAATGAAATAATGTCAAGATTAATAGTTATTTAAATAAATAATCATTTGTATAACATTATGAGTTTACTGTTTTGAAGCTGTTAAAAATAAAATTTTTTAAGAGCATTTCCAAACGAGTATTGCACAGAGCCTCAGAGGCACTACAAATGCCTTCTTGAAGTTTCCCCCAAGTCCATGCATCCTACGGTTAAGAGTAGTAAGCTTTTTAGATGCTCTTATTAATATAATAGACTAGTAGAAGTAACCCCACGTTGCCAGGGCACATTCTTATTACTAAAGCCTGGTAGTTTATATTTTACTTAAAATAGGAAAGCAAAAAGACAATTATTTTAGTTAAAGTAGGGGGTGCAAAACAGGCATGTAAGCAATAAAAAATCACATTTAAAGGGAACTAGCAAAATACTCCGTGTTGTTCAGCCTTCCTTTATATCCAATCATTGTGAAAGAAGAAAAAGACACCTCATATAAGGAATAGGGTTTAAGATTATTATTTTTAATATAATTGGTACACCTTTTAATAAATTACTATAATTTTCTTTCATTTTATTTTACAGTACATTGGAATTGGATTAAAAAAATCTAACACATTGCTACTCTCCCTCTAGCAAAACTATTAGTTTGGCCACAACAGTCCTGACCTCTGGCAGAATATATTGGGACCCAAATGCTCTTTACAAGAGGCAAAAAATGACCATGGTGCACCTGCCAACATATTACTATTTAAATTATTTATTTCCTGCTTTTGTGTTTTATTCATCTTTATTGAACCCTGCAAGGACACAGCAACAACCTTGAAGTGCATGCAAAAGTTTGGTTTCTATTCATTCACTTCTTTATAAAGTATTGATGTTGGTTATATATAGAATTCACTTTTATAACTAGCATAGATTGTAATAAATTAACAATTAAAATGATTTACATCTTATTACAACACTTAAAATTCATATCAGCACTTCTCATGCAAGAAAACTCTCGTTTGTAATCTTGTCTCCATATGACGATCTGGAATGATTTGCTATAAATTTCTTTACTCGCAACACTGTCTCTTCAAAATACTGTTGTGCACTTCTCTTTTAAATCTTGAAATGACATCACGGAAAACAGATTTATAGTTTCAGTTCTTTGCACTTGTATAATCACTTGCACAGAAACACATCATATACACAGAGCCATCCTCAAAAGGGATCAGATGTTAGTAACAATAAAAAAAATCAAAACACTTGATTTCATTTTTCATGAAGATTTTAGACAGGCTGATTCTGTAGAAAAAACAACAAAGAAACCACGATTGTGTGAGTTGTCCATGCTTGCAGGTGTATATCTACTTTGATAGAGATCGGTGCCAGGAGAAAAAGGGCAAAATAATGTCAAAAAGATGAAAGAGGAGAGGGAGAGCGAGAGGAGAGGGAG